GGTTCAGGCCAGTTGTTACAAAAAAAAATTCCGATTTGGAATCCGGGGGATCGACAGAAAATGCTTAACCATCCACAAACAATAGGAGGTCTGCGTACTGGGCAGCAAGCAGAGAGCACCAAAGCGCTTTGTCAGATCGTCCTCGCCTCACAGACCCCTGTTTGTCATCTAACCGGTAAGGCTGTACACTCCACTACTGTGAGCTTCTCGGAGCCAAGTTTGGGCAGCTAGAGTGCAGTGTGCGCAGAGCATGCCTCGGATATGAAAGAAAATTCATGATTCCCAGTTAGGGGATTCCAACCAACTCCAGTTGGGAATATTCATGAGGAATTCCAACCACGATCGTCCCAACATTTCCAAATTGGAACTCCTACTTTACGAGCATGATTAACACAAACTTGCACCCCAGCCCCCCAAACTTGGCTCAAAGAGGCTCAAAGCAATGCACTGTGCCGCCTCGAAGGTTTGATTGCGAACGGGTCTCTGTGAGGCGAGTGCTGAGTGCCAAAGCGCGTCTGCGTGCTTTTCCAAACAAGTGAGCACAACTCCTGCGACCTCGTGTGGGTTTGGATGTAAAAGGCGTAAATTCGGGATTACAAATTGGAAAAACTCTCCGTAACAACAGGCCTTAAGAGAGACTATTTACGAGAGTACAATCGGTTTGTCACGCCTCTGGCCGATGTGTATGCCCAGGTGCAACAGGAGGCAACGTCGAGGGGGGGGGGGGGGGGTACGCACACAGCAGATGTGGGAGTGTTTGATTGCTTGATGTGTTGTGGTGGTGACTAATACGAGATTATTCGAGACAAATTGCGGATATAAGAGAGTAAAATCGGTTTGTCACGCCTGCCCTGGCCGATGTGTATGCAGATAGGTGCAACAGGAGGCACGGCGGCTTCTACCCCTAGCAGAACACCCTTCTTGTAAAAACAAGCAAAATAAGTGGAAGCAAATAACGAAACAGAACAAAATATTGCAGAGTTCTGGTCCTCGATCATCGGACGGCCGGCGCTAACGAGGGTGGTGGTGGAGAGAGGCGGAGAGACAGAGATAGAGCACAGATACGCACAGAGGGGAAACAAAACAGCAAACATGCAGATTGTAAAACGCAGGGCACGCTCCTTAGGTAGGTACAGCAGTAGTGTGGTGGACCACTGGGTGATGCTGGATGTCAACGGCAGAGTGTGTGCTTTCAACATGGGGGTCAACGGTCAAGTGAAGCGAGACTTTGCCACCTCTCTCTTTTTGTGAAACTGCTGACCCCGCTTTTGTGTCCAGGGCCAGAGATCGACATACTTCTTGCCGTATCAGCCAGCACGCGGAGGCTCGGGAGTCGCGGGTCAAGGCAAGAGGTCCACGGCGTGTCCAGCGGATACATACGCGGATCCCAACACTCAAGCCTTCCCATCCGACATAGCTGTGCGACTGAGATCGACGAGGAACAGAAGCCTCTTCTTGCGCACGGCATCATGGAATAGCTACTGCTGTAGCGCTTGAACAATAAATAAAAACGATGACCGCAAAGCTCATCCTCTTGGCTAGAGCCAACTTCCCAGCCGTGTTTGCCACACTGTCACATTACTGCTCGTCTGCCCAGGCGCCCCACACCACACCCACACCCACATGCTTACGCTAAACGGCAGATCTTGGGAGAATTGGAGTGTTTACCACACTTGTTCTCTATATGTTCACCCGCCCCAAGAGCAGACAACAGGACCCCCTTCTGCCTCCCGAAGCACGCCTTACCTCAGATTCTTTGAGGGTTGCCTCCCCTTCCTCAGCGTCGCCAACAAACAGGGCAGGGCGCTCCATCCGACTGCTCAGATCAGAGCAGGGCGGGTGCGAGACACACCTGCAGCAGACTGGGGAGGCCTGCAGAATGATTTTTTGAATATGACAGGTACCCAATACTATCCAGCCGCAGGGCCTCCGGTGGCCTTTCGCCGTGCTGATCAGCCCGGTCAGCCCGACCACAGACCAGCCGACAGCCCTGACAACCAGAGAGAGAGGGGCGCGCTCTGTTGTTCTCTCGTGATGCCTCGGCTGCTGTCGGAAGAGATAGACGATGCCGTGCGAGAGGTCAAGTTTATAGAGGAGGCCCTGTCCGGCAGCGCCGGTTGCGACGCCGGGGGCAGCGGCTCGTACCTCGGGTTGACCGACCGTGGGGCCTTGCTAGATTTGCTCCTTTGCGCCCGACGGCAGCTGAACCTTCTCCGAGAGAAAGAGGTAGCAATCCTCAAGTCTTCTGCTGCTGCGGGGGGGCGATCCAATCAGCACTTTGGTGAGTTATGGGCACCCCGCCCGGCGTCGTGTGACCTCTCCGTGTTGCTGCTGTGCAGAATCGAGAGTCAGCACGAACGTTGAAGTGTGTTTGGTTCGTCGTGACCCTCATCCATGTGTATTGGTCGATGATTGTCGTGGCGACCAGCGTACGTTGCTCTGTGTCTCTGCCCGGAAGCTAGGTCTTCTGAGCATCGTTTCCGTGTCGATGGCTGTTGGGAGGAGGTGTGCACTCATTGTTGTGGCCGCTACCAATCGCCTTCCTATGAGCCATCTGGCTGGCTCTAACGCCTGGTGTGTGACATAGTCTCCCGTCTAGAGGGTTCTCGGAATCTGGAATTGTTCCACTCAAAAGAGAGCTGCAACCAAGAGACGAGGGGGGGGGGGTCTGTAGACACCAAATCAGTCCACGCCGGTAGGGCTATAGGCCAGCAAGAGCCTGGCACGGCTACGGTAGCGACGATAAGTTGACTGCTCTGTACCGACCTCAATCATCGGGTGTTGAGGAGAATCTGCGGCAGGATACGTAACAAGCCATATGCGGTGAGAAGCCGACTAGACCAGCGCGCCGAAAATACAAATTCCAGTGGCCAAAAAAATAAAAAAGGGAACGAGAGCAGCTGTTGTTGCCCGTGCCTTGTGTGCCATTCCCGGTCGAACATAAAAATGGTGTGGATAAGGAATTGTCATGTCCGTCCAGCTTGATGGTCACGTCACTCTTTTGGGTGTATGGATACATATGCGTAATAGCCGGAGCACGATGGCCGTCCGGCTGTGTCTCAGCCAGCGTCATGTGCACGGTACACGTCACCGAGCGGGACCTGAAGAATCTGAGAGCCGCTGGGCTTGGATACACCCGCAAGCACGTTAAAAAAGAAAACTTCATTGAAGAGTTGAACTCGGAGTCGGATGACGACATGGTTGGGAAGAAATAATAGGTAGGGAGAGGAAATGTTAATGTTCCACTCTGCCTGCATTAACGTTGCTAGATAAATCTATCAAGGACTCTTTGCTGCTGTGGAAGCGATGCATTTGTTGTGTTTTGTGTAGGAAAAAAGAAAAAAACAGGAGTTGTTCTGCGCACTGGGTTGGAAACAAGGCAGCCTGACGCGCTTCATTACTCAGTGCTCGCCTCACAGTCACCCGTTCGCAGTCAACGCTTAGAGGATGCTGTTCACCCCACTTGTTGTGAGCCTTTCTCGTAGCTTGACGGGGAATGTGCGCACGAGAGAATGCGTCGGATTGTACACAGAGTTAGCTAATTTTCCGTGGTGTCCGGTTTGAAAGTTTCAAGATTTCCCGATTGGAAGTCATGATATTTTTTTAGTCTCTACTTTTTCTCTCGTTTCGTGGCACTGCGTGGGGGGATCGACGATTTAGCGAGCGCGAATGCGAAGCTCCGCGCGAGGAGACGCTATCGAGATAATGAGATCATCCTCATCCTCGGAGGAGTTAAGTCACGATCGGTGGAGGCGCGTTCTCTCTGTCGAAGATGACGCTATCTAGCTCCGCGTCTGCAGCACGCGCCCGGAGTACTGATGAAGCCGACCAAGATGCGAAGGAGCTTGCTGCCATAACGGTGATGGCGACCCAAGCCAACTCGGCTGCCGTCCGTGAAAACAAAAACGCTTCCCTCGAAGAAGCGTTCGGGGAACGGTTCTCGAACCGTTCTTCTAGATGCATGTGTATGTATATGCGGTTTGATTGTCACGGACCGCGGCTGAGTTGGCTTGGATCGCCACGGCCGTGGTGGCAGCAAGCTCCTGCGCATCTTGGTCGGCTTCATCAGTACTCCGGGCGCGTACTGCAGACGCGGCACGCTGACGCGGAATGTTTGTTTGGTCCACGCGCATAGCAACCCCTAAGGCCCTGATGAGGAATATCGCTTGTTGACGAAACTTTTTAGAAAAGCAGTGCTCGCTGGTAGTCTTTGTTTGCTCTCTTTGGTAGACTGAACAAAGGGAGTGGCGACACCTCCTTGCAGAGAGGGGCCGTTAAGACGACGTCCCCGGGTAGTTCCATCCTAGGGAGTTGCAGCTCCCGCCGTGACCTGATAATCTTGCCTAGATCTACCCACCGTTCACATCCTCGCACTCACACCCCCGAACACTTCAGCCCACGGTGGCGGTTGTGCAGATAGTTGTGCAGATATGTACATGGAAATCCCCGGATACGACTTGAGCCAATTCCAGAATTCGAAGCTCGCCAACGAAGCACAGCTACATCAGATGAACAAAGGATCATCGTCGTGAAGTGAACACAATGGGGGTGTGTGCGACACCTCAGGGACCATGAAACGGCAACGTTCCCTGATGGTTCCATCCGAGGGAGTTGCACCCCATGCCATTCCCCGACAGCAGAGTTTCCTCCAGCAGCAAATCTACCGCTGAGGTTTTACGTACTCCAGTCCGATAACGCAGTGGTGCCCCCCGTTTGCCCCCCGACCGTCACTGATGCTCTCGAAAAAAACGAAGAACCTTCGCCGTCGGCTGCTACGGGGGTTTGCCAACCCGGAGGAGGCGTTAGCGACACAAGAAGGCTCTCGGACGTGACGACTTGGATGTCGTGCAGGAGTCTGCTGGACAGCATGGGCGTGGGGGACATCCGTCTTGTGCACTCGGCGGTGCCAAGAGGTAAGATGACCGGCGACCAAAGGGGTGGGGGCGGAGAGGCCAGCAGCAGCACCCGAGAGAAGGGAAACGCGAAATTGCAAGAGATGTATGGATGGAGATGGTTTAGGAAACAAAAAAGAAAATGCACCCACACAGCTAGGATATGCGCGTGACCCCCCCTTTTTTTTGCGTTCGCGTGCGTACACCGACTATTATTCGGTTTTTCGCTCACCACAACAAAGGTACTTCGCCATAACGATGCCAAACCTTGTTTGGCGGCTTGATATTAATAAACAGCACCCCGACAATCGATGCCACTACTATTAAGCTGGCTGCTGTAGGAGAGAAATATCAGCCTGTAGCGCCTCCCGACAGCGATCAAGTCCCTGAACCCCCCCCTCCCCGGGTGCATTCTCGGGTCAACGGCTCCATCAGCGGAGCTGAGCGTGATCGTCGACGCGTTGCACCTGTTTCAATGGCCGGGGGCAGCCGCCGCAAGGGGCCTCGCCGCCGGCGCTCGATATCGGGCCGCCGGGGAGCAAGAACGGGCCGGGCTCCGTGCCTACCTGAACGCCATCATCCTCCCGGGGGACGCAAATGAGTGGGTCGTTCCTGTCGCGGGGGGGCAAGACCCCGGCGACGCGGCCGAAAGCGGCGGCCACGACAATAACTCCTCCGACTTCTTGTCCGTACCGTGCGACGGTAGCTGGAGACGCCGCCGCCGCTCCGGCCATGCGGGGGACAGGTGGGCGGCGGCGACCGAGGGGGGGGGGGATACGCAAGGGGCAGTTCGCGGGGGGGTACCCTCCGCGGCGATCTGTCTCTCCGAGGCCATCAGCTGCGGGGGGCCCGCCTCCGGCTTGCGGGTGCTGTTGGAGGTGGTTCTGCCGGAGGCGACGTCGGCGTCCGCTAACGGCACCGCTATATCGAGCTGCAAGAACGGCGAAGACAACGGCTGTCGCCGTGGCAGAGGCAGCTGCCGCGGTGGGCTGTCGCCGCGTGCCGCGGGCGCGGGCGGGCAGCAGGCGGCGGGGCTGTACCGGGCGATCGGGGTCCTCGTTGCGGCGAACCGCCGGAGTCCGCTGACGAGGCCCGTGGTCGTGCTGACCGACCTGCAGGCCTCCTGGAAGCTGCTCTGGCTGGGCGGGGCGCGCTCGGGCCTGGCTCCGGCCGGAGAGGCGGCGGCGGCGGCGGAGGCGGCGGGGACGGCCTTCCACCATGCGGCAGCAACCACCGTCGACGGCGACGACGTTGACGTGTTTGTGTGGAGGATGAGTCCTCGCGATGCGATCTCGGTCGTACGCTCCATGCTGGATGAGGAGGCCGTGGGGTGGGACGGACAGGTCTCGTGGGCGCCTCGTCAAGGTGATGCTGTTGCTGCTCCTGCTGCTTCTGGGGGGGGCGGTACACACGGCGACGACGGCTTTCACGCTCTCGCATGGGCAAGCGAAGGAGCGGCAGGAAGAGGAGGAGGAGGAGGAGGTGGAGTTGCGGCAGGAGAATCAAAGGGCCCAATGCAATCGCTGAGAGACCGCCATCTCGTCGGCCGTCGCAACTTCGGCCGGCCTCATTCTTGTCCCCGCCACGGGGGCTCGCGGGCGGCTTCCTCCGCTGCTGCCGCCAACGGCGGCAGCGGCGGCGGCGGCGGGGGGGTAGAAGCCTACATGGGGGGAATCGGGCGCACCTCGAGCCCCCCGCTGGCGATGGAAATGGCGCTCCGCAGGGAGCACGCGTCTTCCTTCACGGGGAATAGCTTGCCCGGGCAGTGGACAGCAACGGGGGGTAGCTTTGGGGAGGGCGGGGAGTTCCCGCCGAGAGAGTGCCGAGCCTTTTCGGCCGGCGTTCAGCACGCTAGTGACGGGTTGGACAGGGCGGCCGAGATGATGGGACGGCGGTCTACTTTTGCGAATCTCTACCCGCTCCATGGAGGAGGAGGAGGCGGCAACAGCGGAGGAGGAGGGGGAGCGGGGGACGAAGGGTACTCGGTTGACGATCGCTTCCGGGGGCGGCTTTCGAACGGTAATCATCATTCTACCAACGGCGGCGCAACGCCCAGAGAGCATCGGGGCGGCAGCTTCGACAACGACGGCAGAGGCTTATCAGACAACAGCAGCACTAGGCAGCGCTCCTTTACGGCCTCCTCCCCTCACACGCGACCGCTGTCACCGCCGTCTGCTCCGGTTAACCCGCTCGCCGACCCGACCGTCCTCCGGCACCTCATCCCCTTCGCCGCGGGGGACGGCTTTCTGTTCGTCGCCGGGATTTCCAGGAGCTGGAGAGATGCCTGGGGCGTCGAGCGGCCGCCGGAGACGGACACCGATGCCGCCGTGCAGTCGCCCTCTCGGCTGGGGTGGGCGAGGGCCAGTGGGCTGGGCTGGGGGCCGAGCGTGTGCGCGCGGGCTGCGTCGGGGGGGCACCTGGCGACGCTGCGGTACGCCAGGGCTCTGGGCTGCCCTTGGGACTGGACTTGCTGCGCGCTGGCCACCACGAAGGTGCGGCATGTGTGTGTGTGTTTTTATTATTAGCATCGACCGCGCTAACCGGCTGACCAACGAAAATACGTCAGTCTCAGTGCGGGTGAAAACACAAAACACTTCTAAATGCCATTAACTGGTACCCCGTGAGGGTGTGCATGGGCGAGACTAACCTATTCTCCGGATCAAACACAGAAACGGTAGCAACAGAAGAAAACTGCACTTGTCTACGACGGCTGCTACCTTGCACTCGATTTCGTTTTGGTGTGTGTGTGTGTGTTTGTCTTTGTTGTTGGCATCGACCGGCTTGTGAACAATGAAAAGACGGCAGTCTCAGTGCGGTCGAAAACAAAACCTGCCCGTGTGTATGTGTGTGTGTTATTTCTTAATTAGCATCCACCGCGCTAACCGGCTGACGAATGAAAAGACGCGTGTGTGTGCATGTGTGTGTATTTTTTTCTTGTTTTGCGGTGTTGATTGCGATGCTGGGGCGTGAATTGTGTGTGCGTTGTGTACGATATAGCCTAGAGCACGTTGCACCAAGGACACGGGAAGAAACGCCAAGTCATGGGTGTGTGCGGGGGGGGTTGTCCGTTACCGTTCATCTGCGCCAGCAGCCGGCTGACCAAACCACCAATGACGAACACACACGTGAATACAACACGGTCGGTGCCGCGCTTGCTCTGCTGCCCCGACCTTCTCTACTGTTCCTTCTAAGGGCTAACCGAATACTTGCACGCGCGTCCCGCACCGCCCCAGGCTCTTGTCCCGGTGAGCGCGATGATCCAGTGGGCCGCATCGCAGCCAGCGTCTTCCTCCTCTTCTGTGGTTGGTGACGACCCTTTGCGACCGAAGCGCCTTGAGGTGCTGAAGTGGTGCAGAGAGAACGGGTGTCCTTGGGACGAGGCTACAACATCCGAGGTGCGGAAGGGCTGTCTTCCTAGTGGCGGTGTTCGGAACAAGCGTGCACTGTGCGCGGTTTTGTTAGGCTGCTGCCCACTGCCGCTGTTGTTCTTGTTTCCCACTCAAGACCTTCCTTCGGGTGGTGTTCGGAAAAGTTCGGAAAGAGCGTGGACTGTGCTCGGTCTTCTTCTTCCCAAGAGACTGCTGCTGTTGTTCTTGTTTCCCACTCAAAACCCTTCTTCGGGTGGTGTTCGGAAAAAGCGTAGGGTGTACTCGGTTTTCTTGTTCCCAAGAGGCTGCTGCCCACTGCCGCTGTTGTTGTTTTCCCACTCGAAGCCTTTAAAGCCCGTGTGCGCTTCCAGGAGGGCCCTTCAAGTTTTTGTGGAGTAGCCGAGCTTTTTTTAATTGGACCAGGGTTTCAGTTGGCAACCTACGATACTTGTAGGCTCGTGCCGTACTGCAGGAAATTTTTCAGGCTTTTCAGCGACAGCAGCGGTGGCAGCAGTTGCTGTTGTTGAAAGTTCGTCTTGGCATGTAGCGACTGGTCTGACCGTTTGTCAGTGCCGTGTCTGCTCTACTCTTCCAACTCGACGATGTTTTTTTTTTCGGTCACCGCTTCTCGAACTGGCAATTTTTTTTCCAGAGGACATGCACCCCCACCCGTTTAGGGGAGACACGACAGGTATTTTGAGAAAAGAAAAATACTATGTTCGTGCACAGATTCTTGTCCCCCCTTTCGCCCATCCGACCTTTCGCCCACGCACGCGGTTGGCTCTTTGTTTTGCCCTATACACTATCCTACCCAGGCTGCCCGGGAGGGAAACATGGAAATCTTGCGGTATGCCGTGGGCAACGGCTGCCCTAGGAACGTGCTCATGTGCGCGTACGCCGCGGCGGCGGGCCACTTGGAAACCCTCAAGTGGGCGAGGGAGGAGGAGGGCTGCGGCTGGTGGGTGTTTTTTTTTTTACGGATACCCTGATTTTTTTTGTGATCCCCATCTGGTACTCGTGAACGCTGGGGCATGCAACTTTATCGTTTCGGGGTGGGTTAGCTGATGGATCACACGGTCAACACTATTTCTTTTGTGATCCACATCTACTCTTGAATGTCTGGGTATGTGCACTCTCTAACATTAAGGAACGCGTCGGCTGGCAGATAGCTGGATCATGATGCTATCTGTCCAATACACACCCATAAGTAGAATGCCTTCTCTGTTGATAACATAATTGGCGCTCCAAGACGCGTTCGAAGAGTTGCAGTGGCAAACTAAGACACGGGTGCTCTCTTTTGAAATTCATCAAAGAAAAACGTATGTTTCAACGAAGTGTTAAGCTGTCTGCAGCATTTTCTTTTTTTGTTCATCTCAAGTACCCCCCCCCCCCGCTCGTAATAACTTTCCATTTCGAAAAAGTGTGAAGTAATACACACAATTTTTTTTTTGTCAGCTCAATTTCCCCCCTCATCTTTTTTCCCCTCAGGAACGAGGCCACGTGTGCGTTCGCGGCAGCGGGGGGTCACTTGGAAGTCCTGGAATGGGCGAGAGAGAGGGGTGCCCCATGGGGAGAGGAGACGTGCGCAAGTGCCGCCAGGGGGGGCAGGCTCGAGGTGCGGGTTTTTAGGTTCGGCCCGGCAGCCAGCTCGGCGACCGCTCGCTTGCTGCCTTGCCGTGTATGAGGTGGAGGGATGACACCCCCCTCTGCACCGGTTGTAGAACTCGATTGGTCCACAACCGAGCTCGTGCCCAACCCCAAAAATGGCGGTGTCGGAAACACGTCTTCGACGGCTTTCCGTCGACGTGCCGCGGGCTCTGTACGCAGCCCCATGGTTACGGAGCAATCGATCTTTCAAAGTCTAGCGGGGGTGCCATCTCTCCGCCCCCGCCTGTTTGTATGTCGTGCGGGTCGCACTGCTTTGCTCCCGGGACTGGCAGATTGATGATGTTGCGGCGCAATTACATGCCGTAGGTGACGTAAGATACCACACCCCCTTGCACCGACCCTCAAAAGCAACGATTACTCTAGAGCAGCAAAGGGTGGCGGCACCGAAAATGGCGGCGTTGGGACCGTCTCGTCGAGAGCTTTTCGAAAATGTATCATTTGGTTGAGATATCCTCTTCGTCATGGAGTGGTCGAGCTTTGAAGATCTGCCCAGGGGGTGTGATATCTTATGTCAGCCTACGGTAGGACGCCGAATGATTTTGTTGCAGCGCTATTGAGGGGCGGGTTATCCCCGCATTGTGGTGCGGTTTTTGTGTTCGCGGTGTGGAATTAATTGATTGTGGTTCCCGGGACGTTGGAGAATGGAGTTTGTCTATTTTCGCTCTCTCCTGTCGTCGTAGGTCGCATAAGATAACACCCCCCCCCCTCTCGACCGATTCGACGGTCACAGCTCGAAATCGTATCGCTTGATCTTGTTCTTGGTCGTGGAGCAACGGAGATTTGATAGTCGGTCTAAGGTGGGTGCCATCTCTCAATCTCTTACGGCGCAACAACAACAACAACAACAACAAAACACTATCCGCAACCACAAAAACAACAACAAGTCAACCCTCCGTCGTTCGTAAAACCAAGGTTTTGAAGTGGCTGAGAAAGCACGGGTGCAAGTGGGGGGCGGGGACGTGCGGCAACGCGGCCGAGGGCGGGCACTTTGACGTCCTTAAGTACGCCAGGGGGGAGGGGTGTCCGTGGACCGAGGCGGCCTGCACGCTAGCCGCGAGGGAAGGTCACCTGGAGATCCTCAAGTGGTGCCGCAAGAACGGCTGCAATTGGGTCTCCGCGACGTTCAGGTGAAGCGGGCAAGGGGTTGGTTGGGCGTTCTCGCCTCTCTCTTTTGTTATAGGATTTATTGTTGAAAATTTTGGCCCGTCATTTTGTTCATTTTTTCACCGAGTGCACAAATCTGTCATGTGATGTCGTGTGATGTGATTTCACACGTACCAACTGCTGCTGTTGTGTTGCATCGTGTTCCACGTTCCGCGTTCCGCGTTTCCATGTTCCACGTGCCGTGTTCCTCGTTTCCGCGTTCCTCATTCCACCTTTCCGCGTTCCGCGTTCTTCGTTACCACGTTCCACGTGCCGTGTTTCTTGTTCCCACGTTCCTCATTCCACGTTTCCGCACTCACGTTCCGCGTTCCGCGTTCCACGTTCCGTGTCTCGCGTTCCGTCACCGCGCAGGGCTGCCGCGGGCGTGGGAAACCAGGAGATGCTTTGTTTCCTGTTCGAGGAGGGTTGCCCCTGGGACCGCCGGACTTGCGCCGCGGCCGCGAGGAACTCGGACCTCGAGACCCTCAAGTGGTTGCGGCTCAAGGGCTGCCCGTGGGACTCGCGGGTGCTGGACGCCGCGGCGGAGGTCGGGGCGATGGACGTGTTCGAGTGGGCAATGAGCAACAAGTGCCCTTCCTGAGAGAGAGATGTGCCGATCCGCTGTGCTAGCCTGGGCCGCCGACGCCACGGAGCGGACGGGATATGTGGTTGCGATGGCGCCGCGAGCACAGGCGGTGCCAGCACAGGCGGTGCCAGCTTGCGTTGCCTAGGCAACGCACAGCGGTGGAATCGTTTTTTTGAGAGGGATGGAGACGGGATGGGACCCAATCAAGAACCGTCTGTGCCTAGACCAAGGACAGCCCCCCCGCGGGGCCTCTACGTGGGGTAATTGAGTCCCGGCAGCCGTTCAGAGACGGCAATGATGATACGGCTCCAGCGGGGTGCTCTGTTGGTGTAAGGACCCAAGCAGCATGGAGCAAGGCATGGAGGGAGCGATGAGGGAAACTACGCACGCTTCGATAGGTGTATTTTTTGTCGTTGCGATTTCTGCCGGGGGTGTAGGACCCCAGGTGGGCATTTTTCAAGGGGGGGGGGGGGGGGGGGGGGCAGGCTAGACGGAAAACAAGCATAGACGCCCCCCCTCGAGTTGGTCAAGTCCATGTTCTGCTTTCGGTTTCATGCTATTTATATATAGACTAATGGTATTTTCGATTCTACAGCAGTCGCTTACGCAGTACAGCAGTGTCCCGGAAACAAGTCGTTGACCCAAAGCCCGTTCGATGGTGCTGACTTGAATGCCGCCTGACGAGGAAAATCTTGGGGTTTAGTGTTGAATGGTTGGGCGTTGTGAGAGGGTATCATAATGATTGTTGTAGCATATTCATCGTGTTAGAGGTACCTTAGACTTCCGTTGGTGTGGGGTTTGGATAGCTTGACTTTATGTTTTGTTTTGGGAAGATTGGTGTGGAAGAAATTGCGATTGCATGGTGTGCGCGCGTTCTAGACTTTCGGATGAATCCAATGTTTGGACGCCGGGGAAGGCGATCTACGCTAGAGTGCAAGGCGTGATGATAAAAAAACTGCTTTTCCGTTCTATGCATGATAACCGTTTGGTAGAATTCTTGTAGAGGTCAGAGGACCCCAAAATATGGCACAACGGGCGGTGGCTAGTTTTCGGTGTCTGTCTGTGGTGGGCTGAATAGAGATGAAAGTAGTGAGGGACGTGTGTGTCGTTGATTTTTTTTTTTTGCGTTCTTCTTTGCCTTCCAAAGGCACGATTGAATTGTATTTTTGGAAGCCTCTCTTCTTTCGAGTTTTGCCGGGGCCGTTGGGCTGGACGCCCTCCTTCGAGAGGAAGGAGAGAGGGCGTCAGGAAGGCGCTTCTTGTTTTTTCGCGCGCGAGATCAATATATTTGCTTTGCGCCGTCCCCAAGTTTGTACGATGCGATTCTGTCGAGTAGCATAGTTTTGGGGGCCGTTGTCTTTATTGTTGTGGGGTAGGGGGGGGGGGGGGGGGGGGTCGCAACCGGTGCTTGTTAGGGGAGAATGGGTATTTCGTCGAGCATTCCGTGAGTGAATTCCTGTTGCGGGCATATGTACCGTGAGTGAATTTGATGCCGGGGTCGCAACTGGTGGTTTATTTGGGGAGAATTAAGGATGTCGTCGAGCATGCCGTGAGTGGTGGTTGTTGTGCCAGAGGAAGTTTTTTGCGTTTGATATGTTGGCTTTGCGGGTTTACGCCGCTCTTCGGCTGTAACTGGAGAGCAATGGGCCTTTTTTTTTAATGTTGTTGTTGTTGTTGTTGTTGCACGTTTTGACCCATGGCCCGACGGAAGAATGATAGAGAAGAGGAGAGCGTTGATGTGTGGTGTCCGATGGACGTTAAGCTGCAAGCAAGTCGATTACAATCACAGAGGCCTAAGTGTTCTCTGTTCTTAAGAAGTTTCTCCCTGCCCAGATGTGTTGTTGCTTCCAACAATTTGGATTATCGAAGGAGGGACAAAACTGAAACTGATTCTTGGGTGCGGGACAGACAAGCAGCTAGCTAGACAGGGCGTGTGCTTTTGGAGTGCTCGCGTGATGATGTACGTGCGCGTGCCCTCTCCTCCCCACCCCAACAAAGCCACGAGTCAATCGTTTTTTGCTCTGGGACGGGGCGAACGTGCTCCCGGTGTGCGTATTCTGCTAGCCCATGGCGCCTGTTTGTTGAGCGTTCCTGGGATCCACCTTTTGGTGTTAGAGATTAGAGGAGAGGTGAGGGGGGTTGCAGAAGGTGGCCCGCGCTCTCGTTAAATTTTTTTTCTTGTGTCAGGGCTACTGGTGCGGTGTTGTTGTCCCCAGATGTGTGTGTTTGTTGTGTCGTCGATGTACACCATAGTATCTGGGGTCTTCATTATTTGAACCGCGGTTGGTTTTGCGACCGTTGTTTTTTGGGATTTTTTGTTTAATGTAAGGCCATTGCATGTACACATGCACTTAAGGCCGGCCGAATACCTACCGTTTCCTCGCGTGTGCTGTTGTTATCGAGAGGGCGGTGGTGTGTATCGGCCATGCGGAGTCGAAGGTGTCGTCGGTGTTGTTTTCGCGATCGACGGATTCCCGCAGGTTTGCCGGTAAATTATATATCTACAACATGTAGTTTTAATGCCGACGTGAAAAGAATTGGCTTCTATGCGTACGCAGCGATACGAATGCCTCTTCAAAAGAAAGGTGCATGCAAATGCCAGAGCTCTTCGGGTGGAGAGAACAAACGCCGTACGGTACGCGGAAGCTGCGAGCGATGGTGATTAACGGCAGTGCGAGCGAGAAGCGGCAAGTAAGTTATTTCCCTCTTTACGTGGGCGTGTGCTCGGTTTCAGGTTCGTTGTCCCTCTCCCTCCGTCGTTTGCTTACACACGTGCGTTTGCCGTTGGCGTGAGACATGCCGGGTTCAGGGGCTGCAACGAGATACAGCCGCCGCCGGGGAAACCTGCTGCGAAACGTGCCGTAGAAAGCACCTTACCTTAGCGGAAGGAAGTATGTATGTGGTATGTATTTATGTAGCAGTGTGGAGATCAGGGAGAAGCGAAGGTGTATTTCACGGACGGATGATAGTAGTCCCTCGTGATGTGCAAGCATTGGACGAACGGATGTGTGCATACGGTGTGTGGATATTTCTGTAGTTTTGTAAGGGAACAAACCCGGTTGCCCTACCTGCTAAATAATCGTCGTCGTAAGGACGCAACAAGAAATTTATCACACCACTGTACTGGTACTGTTTTTGTGCGAATCGTCATATCTTGACTGTTCTCTACACCACCTTGGAAGAATAAGGAAAAAATTTCAGAGGACCAGCATGGTTGCCCGGAGCAACCTGCGATACCAATGGATATATCTGTAGTTCTGTGAGGGAAAAACCCCGGCAGAATCTGGTCGACGAGCAAGCGTTATACTGCTGCTGTGCGCCTCTGTTGCAACGCCTGCTTTACAACGAAAAATATGTTTGGAAGATGGGAAGAGGCTAACACAATGCAGCGGGTGCTGCTGTTGTGTTCACTTGGCTCCCAGAAAACGCCATGATCGCATATGATGCACAAACAAAATCCCGGCAATCACGGGCTTTGACTGCTGCTGCGTTGTGTATTGTCATGTACCGCGTCGGAAGGAGAGAGGCCCATATTAATTTCTTGTTGGGGGGGTGCGAGCTGGGATGTATTTTGCTGGTTTTGGGGGTGAAGTCGCTCTGGGATGGCATGCACAGCAAGAAGTGATTGTACGCATAGTATTTACTACATAGTACTGGTGAGGTCTACAATTTAGTACACAGCAGTCGATGGTTGTTCACCGAATCTTCAAGATTCGTTTTTATCCCTTTGGATCTAATTGCGCCGCATCCCGAGAGTTTATCCAGAACCGGTTCTCCTTTGCTGCTGATCTGCTGATTCTGCTGATGCCGGACACCTTGAAGCTCAGGGCTCGGGTGAGGACGTCGTGTCTTGATGCGAGATCTCGCGCGAAAGGGAGAGGCGGTGAACAGCTCAGCGTGGGGTGGACAATACGCACGCCACAGCGCCGTCGTTGAAGCCGCCCCGTATTTGATGAAGGAGACGCAGCCTCACATCGTTACCTCGAGGGCGACCTCCCCCGCAGCTCTTTACCCCTCACGTACGCGACTTTCCAGGAAGCAGTAGCTCTTTGTGAACTTACCGTTGTCTGGGTGTATCATGGACAGCCGGCGTCTGCAGGAGCTCCGCGAGGTCTATACCCAGCTCTCCCAGCAGAGCACGGGGCCGGATGGATTCTCTGTTGCAGCAGCCGCAGCAGCCGCCGCTGCTGCAGCCGCTCTGAGCTCCGTG